TGTCCACCAGTATTTATGGGGTACCTATTATATTTCGAGCACTGCACTTGGTTGGGATGGGTGATGCTGCAGCAGCACTTTGTGGTCATGGAGAAAGGCCAAGGTCATGGAGAAAGGCCAAGAGGACCGCTGAGATCCTGGCAGATTTCAGTGACCCTGATGACCTGCCTCCAAACTTGTCATTATGTGGGAAAATCAGCCCTATTTACTTAGTCCCTTAGAGTTGGGGATTCTTATTTGTTTGTTACTTTCTGCCAAAAGTGAAATTCTAACCTGATATACCATGTTTTGGTACTATATTTATAAATCTAATAAAATAAAATAAAACTAATCATTTCTGGGAAAGGAAGCTTTGATTAATGTTTGATTAACTCAAGTTGAAGAAGCTAAACTCCCTTAAACCACCAGTCTCATCTATAAGCATCATTTATTAAAATCTTTTAAATGTTTTAAACTGATTGGATTTAATCACAGCTCATTTTCTGTTTTAGCACTTTAAATAATTGACCTGACAAGTTTACAACCAATTAAGCCAAACTGTTCTCATATGTAAACACCTCTTCTACACCTAATTACACTTATATAGTGAATCTATCCTAATGCTGTTAATGAACTAAGTCTAATTTTCTTACACCTTTCAACTTAAAAATCACAAGCTTAAAATCAATTTCACATTCTCAGATCATGTTTCCACTTAAAAAAAAATCACTTAAGAAACACACTCCAGATTATTCCTAAATTTAACATGAAAGCACCAATATTAGGGGTGTGATTTATTTCATCAGCGCCCTATTTAATTCTAAACAGTCCAAGATGTGTGAAGTCATTCAACGAGGGAGCAGGTTCTCTGCCTCAAGGGAATCAAAGTTACTGAATCAGGAACTCCTGATGACAATAGGATAAGCTAAGGTTGCTTAGCAACCAGAGTCAACAGGAAATTGAGCACCTGGGCTCTTTCTATGGTTGCTGTGACAGTAGGGGACGTCCCTCAGGGGGCTTTGATATTAGAACCTTAATTCCAGTGACCTCTTAATTATTATTCTTTAGTTTTCATTATTAGACTAGATGGACGTCGGCAACTCCATCTCCACCCAAATTAGCTAACTTCCTTTATGACTTCATTTTGCTTCTTGCTTACTTGGCCCTCTGCAGACATCCCGGGCGTACTTCCACACTGCGCTGAGGGAATTTTAAGGCTGTTGAGTTTAATCCTAAACAATTGGCTCCACGCCGAGAACTCTAAAATTACCATAATGACACAAACCATTCCCCTTCCTTGTGACTTATTACGAATTCCCCAAATGGGATTATAGCATCTTGCATTTCATCAGAACTACTGTATTTCACTCAGCAGGACCTCTGCGGCCGCTGCTGGTCTCCCTCCAGCTTTGTCTGCCCTGGACATTCTATAAATGAGCTAATCTGGTCTCAACTGCAGGTGCATCAGCCTGTTCTCTCCTTAGCATGCACCCCTGCTTTACTCGCCTCCCCTTGGAGGCAGGTAAGGCCTCCTTCTGACTGCCCAGGGTCTCTTCTCTGGGCGTGAGGGCTCCACAGCAGCTGAGCTGCAGCAGCGTTTGTTTTAGACTCTTCACTGTTTGCAGACATGTGTGGGTTGACATCTTACAATTGTTCTCATTTCATAGCTGGCAAGATAAGTTAGTTCTATTTCTCTTGCCTACTGGGCAAAATAATCATTGATAACTGTGTTTTACTTCAGGTTATAGATGTTACTATAAGATGTAAACAATTTTTTTTTTAAAAGTCAGTTTCAATACTCTTTGAAAACTCCTCTGTTTAGAGAAACCAATTGGTAGACTATCTTTCTAAGGTGAATAATCAATCCTAACTTGCGCATACAGCTTAAAATGGAGTATACTTTGTTGATGTTCAAGCACATGCAATAACCCATTTCCCCCCCATTTCACTGACCAGAAAACCCCCCTTCCTTTCATGAATGGAAGTAAGGAACTTCCATCAGTACTTGTGAGTCAGAAGTTTCCATTTTGTCGACAGAGGCAGGAAAGTTTAGAATGAAGGGAATTTTAGTCCTTTCTCTCTCTCTATATATATATATATTTGCATTGATTTTCCCAATACTGTTTTTAAAAGCTATGTCAGGCAAATATCAACCAAACTTCATGTGAACCTTTCAGAAGAGAATCTTCATGCTTTTCACCAACTTATTCTAATTTCACCAGTTCCTTCGACTTCCCTTCTGCTCCCCTCGTTTTCTGTTATATCCTATTTTATTTCCCACACCATTTGTTTTTATTATGATTACTGTTTGTTCTCAGGGAAGAGACACCAAATGCCTGTGCTCATCCTGGTGTTCTCTCCTTCCAGGCACAGAAGGATGGCATTTCTCCACCCTCTGCTGAGCCATGTGACCGGCCCTGCCCAATGGGTTCTTAGAGTGAGGAAGTCACCCTGTGCCAAGGGGTGTAATGCTGGGCTGGGCACCTCTGACGTTGTCTTCCCCTGGGTCAGGAGGCGATGTGGTCCAGATGGTGCAGCCACAGGACAGCTGAGTGACCCATGGAGAACCAAGGTCTCAGAGTGCTGCCGGGGCCCGCAGGGGCCTGCCCAAGAAAGGAACTTTTGTCATCTTCAATCACTGAAGGGTCAGAGCTATTGACTGCCACAGCCCCATGGTTCTCGAGTGGGTGCCCAGGGGCTGCACAATGTCACCTGGTCACCTGTTAGACTGGGCATCACCCTGTCCTACTAGATCAGACCCTCTGAAGGTGGGACCAGCGGCCTGTGCCCGAACAAGCGCTCTAGGTGGCTGTGATGCAGGCAGACATTTGGGGCCCACTGCTTTGGCCCATCCTGGCCGACCCAGCTCTCATCTAATGTTGGGAGCTCTGCCTGGTTTCAGGAGTTGTAACTGCCCCCCATGTCTAAGGCTGAGTGAGTGACCTCCGGAATGCGAGCCACTTAAGAGACAAAGCTTGTCTCTGGCAGCAAGCACTGCTTCTGCTTTTTCCCCTGCCCCCAATGCATGGTTGGATAGTCCATGATGGGTAAGACCCCTCAGAGGAGGGGCAACCTAAGCCAGACACAATCACTTGGGAGGCCATCATGGAAGGACTCAGGGGGCTGCTACAAAGAGGGGACAATGGACCCTCGCCACCCCCCACCCCACCCCGGGCATTCTGACATAGCCCAAGTCCCTGTTTCCATTTGGGAGAAGCGCTTCCTGGCTCTAATCCACTTAAGCCTGAAAACCTGTGATGGGGAAGGTGGTGCAGACCCTTGCTGGCTATAGCGGGATTCAGGATGATTGGGCATAAGAGTTCCTAAAAGTCCTGTGAAGACTGCTTTGCTAAGAGTGCTTTCATTCATATGATAAGGGTCCAAGCAGGAAATGAGTATGTCTCCCAAAGTTTCCACAACTTCCTTACCTGACAGACACTGACTCAGACTAAGTCCTCAGATTTCTTTGAAATGTTATGTACTGTTTGATCCTTTCCACCTGTATTCCTGTGTATTACAACCCAATAAACGCCATTGAGGAAGGGCCTCCTGGCCCTTCTCCTCTAAGAGACTGGCCACCTCTCCTCCCCAAGCAGATCATGTCTTGGTAGTATTACTTTCATCCGTGGTGGACTGGGGGACTTGTGGACAAAGTCACCCCCACAAACTAGCACTTCCCTCTTGGCAAAGCAGGAGTCTTCTAGAGAGTCCTATCAATGGGACACAAATCATCTCCTAAGTTTCTTAATTAATTATTCTTCCTCACAGCAATCAGTTCATTCCATTATTCCCCTCTATTTTAAGGTCTCAAAACTACAAAAGGATCTAGAACACAGGTGGCAAACACAAGGCCCACGGGCCAAATCCCGCCCTCCACCTGTTTTATCCGGCCCAGCACCTAGTTTCTATCTGGAGGCAGCACTGAGCTCTCACTGAACTGTTAAGGAGCAGTTACATTTCTACAGTCCTAAAATTACATTTGGCCCTTTCAAGGCAACCTCGAGGCTGATGTGGCCCCGGGTGAAAATGAGTTTAACACCCCTGATCTAGAGGCTTGTCAGACCACTCTTTCTACTTTGAACACAACCACTATATGGCTGCATTTAATGAACATGTAAAAGAAAGTTAAGAAGAGATTGAGGCTAAAGAGGGAAGGAAGAAAATAATCTTTACCTGTCCCTGGGCTGGGGGCTACGCTGATCTGCTGAGGTCGTAATGCTGCAGCAGACTGGAGTTGGGTGCGATGGGGCAGGAGGGACGATGTTCCTGGCTTTCCAGGAAGGCCCGCCTCCCAGGAACAGGAAGGATGAAATGTGTTCCTCATTTCTGCTGCCTTCCCTGCCTTCACTGCCTGATAAGCTCCCCACAAGCAAGTGGAACCTTGGACTTGTGTTTCCCGCGGTTCCCATCCACCCCCAGAGACGAAGCTGTCTGTGGCATGTCCCAGATCTGTGCCCTTGGACTTTTGTTCAGCATCTATGACAAATCAGGGCTGTGTTTCTGGGTGTGGTGATCTGGAGGGTGGCCAGCCCTTCACAGTCTTTTCCTCAAGGGCCCCTAATCACGTGCGATCCTGATATTTTCTTTCCTCTCCAGTGGCTTTGTACTTAAATGACTATACTCGGACTCCCTGCTTCTCCACCACTGGCCAGATTCCCTCTCCATCCCCCACCTCCAGCAGTGAAGTTCGAAGCCCACCTGAGCAGGGTAACCGGAACTACCCAAGAGCTCCCTGGACTCAAATACCATAGTTTCTAACCATAAGAAATAGAAGTTTATAACTTCAGTGTTTTGCGCTATGATGCCAGAGTGTGTCTATTAGAAACTGAGAGTATCTTTTGCCTATTAAAACAACACTAAGTGCAGTGATTAGGTGCCCAGCCTCGCCCCCCAGGACTAATAAAGCCACAGGTAGTTAATGTGAAGCTCATCTTTGGTAAAGAGTACAGGACAATCGCCCGTCACAATACTAGTGATTTTTTTACAAAAAGAATAGAAATAAAGTATAAGAAAGTTTGTATTTATTATAATGTGTAGACTTGGGGGAAAATACATGTAAAGAAAAATGAAGAGCACTGGCTGGTGTAGCTCAGTGAATTGAACACAGGCCTGCCAACCAAAGGGTGGCTGGTTTGATTCCCAGTCAGGACACATGCCTGGGTTACAGGCCAGGTCCCCAGTTGGAGGCACGTGAGACTCAACCACGTTTTGAGCCTCACGTTTTGAGCCTCACGCCAATGAGCGTGAGGCTCATTGATGTTTCCCTCCCTCTCTTTCTCCTTCCCTTCCCCTCTCTCTAAAAATAAATAAAATCTTTAAAAGAAGAAAGAAAAAAATGAAAGTAAGAGTAGAAGATTTTGGAGATTCTAAGGTTTCTGGGTACTTCAAAGGACTTTGGAGGATGAGGGCATAGGTTCTTGTAATATCTAATTATACGTCAAAGAGAAAAAATTTTCCTCTTCTCTGACACAGATTTGTTACCAGCTCTGACTCTCAACAATGATACTGTGTGATACTCACAAATGATACTCACAAATGGAATGAAAAGAGGTGAGACAGATTTTCACGAGGGGACTGAGGAAAAAAGAAATATATATATATGAATGAATGAAAAGGGACAGTGCTGGGGGTGAAGGGGGAGCAGGGCCGCTTGATGAACAACCCTCCGGGCCATGTGTGTGCCCATGTGTATCCGTCCCCTGGAAGGGAAGACGGGTGATGGATGAAAGATGCGCATTCCCAACCTAGTGCCTGTGACCCCATCAGCTCTGCCCAGCCAGACTGCCACCTAGGGCAAGGGACCAGTATGATCTGTGGGATGGAGGAGAAAGGAAGGGAGACTTGGTTAGTGCTCTTTGAGGGGGAAAGGAAGTCCTGGCTTGTGGTGTTGCCCAATGACCGTGACGTGAAGGCGCCCACCCTGGGCATAGCTGGCCCACCAATCCCTGAGTGTTTGCCGGTCAGCCCCCACCAGCTGGCGTGAGCCGACTCCAACACACCGCCGGACAGCGCAGCTAACCGTCCTGTTCAGTCGGTTGTCCGTCCGTCCCACCCACACGTGCGTGCACTGTTCCATGGGTGTGACGTTTAATTATTATTCAAAACCAGCAGAATGCCCAGGAGATTCAGGAAAAGAGTGCATCTCAAAAGCACATTCTTCGCCTAAAAGCCACCAGAAATCCTGAGGGCAGAGGGTCATTGATTAGTCTAAGTCTGGTTTCTTTTTTCCATTTTTTACTGTATTTGTTCCACTACCATTTACTCTAAGTTTAAGTTCAAGAATCACCACACAGCTGAATTCTTGGGATTACATTAAATTTTCTGATGACTGCGCTTTCCATATCAGTATCTTTTAAGTAAAAGGAAAACATCACCGTGATTTTTCTAGAACAACTTTAAAAACTTAAAAATAGGAGCGTGTTCTTAGTAAAACTGCACTTCCAGGGTGGATGGGAAGTGGCAGAGAACGCGTCTGTTGCTCACACTCTGTATATTCATCTCATCCCACCGTCTGCCAGAAGCAGGCATGTCAGACCAAGTGCAGTAGAGTGTGGAAGGGTTTCTTGACACACGGCGTGCCCTCCCCACAGCCCCCACCCCGGGAAGTGGAGTCCAGGAGTCCCAGCACCCAGAGAAAAGAGCCACTCGGAGAGCCACCCGAGAGGAGCAGGAGAGGAGAGCAGGGACGTCGCCTCCCTACTGGTCTCCTGCCTACACTGTCACCATGATCTCGTCCAGAGGTTTCCGTTTGAGGTCGGGCACCGTGGCCCCTTTGCTGGGGTACCCCACAGGGAGCAGCAGCAGCAGCTTTTCATTTGAGGGGCGGCTGAGGAGCACCCTCAGACGGGGGCCACAGTTGAGAGGAGTGGTGGTCACAGTCACCAGCCCTGCGTTCTGAAAAGGAGAGGAGAAGAACCCCTTTAGAAGGCAGCAGGCACGGCCAAGCTCTGCTTCAAGCCTGGGGACGTTCTAGCTCCTATCAGACCTGCTCATTCTGCCATTTCCCTGCCGTTGGGCAGCAAAGCAGGGAGGAGTATCTGAATCTTACCTGCTCTCCTCAACCTCCCCAGTCCCCCCCTTCTTTTAACCAAACAGTAGGAAGGTTCCCAGAGAAGAAAAATACCACTCTTCTTTTTCATTAATGCTTAAGAAACAGGAATAGTCACTTCATAGAAAGAAATCTGGGGAATCCAAGCACACCAAGGGACCGACAAAACACAAGCGGTTCCTGTCATCCCATCATGGACAGAACACCATCCCCTGCTGAGAGTCCTCCGCCCAGTGACAGAGGACACAGCAGCCAGGAAGGGGGGAGAGAAAATACTTCATCAGCCTCTCTCCATCCCCTCCACATAACAAACATCTAATAAAACCACGCCAGCTGGCCCTCTCCACCTTTCCCTCTCCCTACCCCCAGCCTTCGCCACTCAGATGGGTACCACCAAGCCTGAGCCAGAAAGTTCTGGAAATGCCTTTGAGTCCTGCAAACCCTGTCATTATGCCATGTGTCCAGATGGGGACTTGGAAGATTTCCCTTTGCTCCCTCACAAATCAAGACCGACGCGAGAATTATGCACAGGGGAAGCTAGAGGGCAGCAAACTCAACACTAACGTGATGGAAGGCTGCTGAGTCAAAGGCCTGGAAGCCGCCCTGCGAACTGACCCTGCTCTGAACCCTGCTCCGGGACTAGTTCGCTTCTTCCGGAGCCCTAAGTCAGGTGGAGGTGCCCTGTGGCACAGAGATTCCTTTAACTTATTCTTGTACAGAATCAGGGAAAAAGAAAGATTTCAGCTTTTTTCAGACAGATTTTCAAGTAACCCATTTCTCTTTTGTGTAACAATGACTGTGCTTTGTAAGGTGTTTTCAGCACACAGATTTTCACTGAGGTAGGGCAGAAGAAGCACAAAGTGATTTGAGGGAATCAATTGTCCCTTGAAAGTATGATCACTCACTCTTATAGTCTGGCTTGCTTTATTTGTTTTACATGTTTACTGTCTCTCTCCACCCCAGAACCCCAGTCCCCACCAGAATGCACATTTGATTTGCTGGCTATTCCTGGCACCTCCCAGGATCTGCCACATAGAAAGAACTCAGAAAATATTTGTTGAGAAATGGACTGAATCATGGAAAAGGCGTACACCAACTGCTGAGTTGCATGTTTAGCATTGCTTTAGCTACTACACAGATGGAATTTTCGAAAGTACATGGGCATCTTTTTTTAATGCAACGCTGAGAACAGAATAAGAAGAGGCTAGGGCAATTCCTGGGCGAGTGCAATGGGGAAACCAAGACAAAAAATTAAACATGGCCAAGCAGTTTGAGCCACTTACAGCCAGCTGGTGGACTGCAAGACCTGATCTCCCCTAACCAAGGACACTCGAGAGCAAATGTCCTCTCCTCCCAGACCAGAGAACACATAACCTCCCTGACCATAAGCCACTGGTATCGGGGAAGAGAGGAATTCTGATGCAAATGGAGAGACAGCACACCTGAACAAGAGAGCCAGCTCAGGAAGAAGCTGCAGGACTCTTCTTCCAGCACCGCCCCCCCCACCCCCAGCCCCACTTATTCTTAAGAGAAATAGTGCATCTGGACTCACTCTAGGTATTTCACCTGCCTAGGTTCCCACATTTCCCATAGATAAACTTGTTTCTGAAAGCTCAAGGGTTTTTCACCCGCCACCTTCTCAGATTGCTGGCCCCTGATAAACAGTTATCTTCCAATCCCTGGCTCTGCTTTTTGGCTGAGTGGTGACAGGCAGCACAAGCCCCGGACACAGTTGCCCTCCAGTTTCAATACAATGTAAACTCAGCTTCTCAGGAAAGAAGCCCAATAACAGAGTGCTCCTTAGAGTCTTTTCATCATTCCATCAACTCAGTCACCATAGCAAACCCAGCCAGAAAACCAGTCCCCAGGACTTCCAGGCTCTGAAAGTGTGTGTCTGCCAATACCCTTGACCTTCAGGTCATTACACAAGGGCCACTTTTCTGACCCTGAAACAATGTCCCGGGTGGATTTCCAGGAAGAATTCCAGCTTGTTGAACTATCACAGTCACCTGCCCAGGTTTTCAGTCAGTTTTCACTTAGGAGTGCAACTTTAGGTAAACAATTTCCAGGTGTCCCTGAACTAGAATCTCGGCTGTGAATAAGACCAAGGTTTGGCCCCTAAGCACCCTTCTCTCTCTTGGGCCTGGTGGGAGGGGCCGTACCTGCAGGGCAGCCAGGAGGATGCCGCAAGCGATGGAGACACTGATCTCACTGTAGTAGTGGGCCTTTCTTCTGCCGCTGGCAGTGAAGCCGTGCACTTGTTTGAAAATGAGAATCAGAACGGGAGCTGTGTCCAAGTACTCTTTAATCCAATTAGTTCTGAAAGGGAAAAAAAGATATTCTGGGGAATGATGGTCTCTAAATGATTTTTGTTTTCTTTTTACATCCTTTGCTTATTTATGGTGAATATAAAGCACATTCACTTGTCTTTTATGTTTAAGTGGAAAAAGAGCAGGATTTTTGCTTGTGCCATCCTCATCTCTTTCTATCCAAGTCAGCAGGCAGGCATTCGCAAAAACCCAGTGTGGAAAAGCACCTGAAAATCTGAAGAATACAAAGAGGGATCTTGTAACCTAGAAGGCAGTAAGCCAGCTTTGGCAAAATAAAACCTTGTGAGTGCTGTTTAAGAAATATAAGCCGAGTGCATTAGAAGCTCTCAAATGAAGTGTTTATTTTGAATGAGGAGATTGGAAGGACATTCCCAGTTTCCCCTGAGGCAGGACGGTGAAGGCCAGGACAGATGAGGCTTGGCAGAGAACTTCCAGAAGCCCAGGAGGCTACAGAGTGGTGTGTATGGGGGGGGGGCGGGAATGGGTGGGCCAGCAGGTTACATGAAGATTTTGCAGGGTCCTGGACTCTGGTTGGTAGGTAATGGAGAGTGACCGTTAACTTCTGAGCAGAAGCACTCCACCATCCGATCGGCTCCAGGAAGAGGCAAATGGGTATGGGTAAGGAACCAGCACAAGGGCGGACCGGCCAGGAGACCATGGTAACGGCCTAGGAGAACCTGGGGGAGCTATAGAGGCTGAAGCTGACGGATGCGGTACAGGAATGTGCAAGACAGAAGAAGAAGATGATGGGGAGGTTTAGCTGAAATTGCAGGTGGACGGATGGTAACGCTGTTGGTCCAGTTATAGAGAAAAGGAAGAAAACTTTTGTACGGATGGGAAATAATTCATGTGAGGTACATATGTTGAGTTTAAATTTTTGTTTACCAGGTAAAAGCATATCTTTCTCTATTGCATTACTTTATCCCATACATCTGGGCAAAAGCTTCATTCTAACCCAGATGTTCAAAGGAAAGGTACTCATGTAATGCTGTATATTGGAATATTTTCTTAGGATACATTACACCATTAATTAGCAAGAGATCATTTATTTTTAGCTTAGCTATGCTTCACTGTTTTAAAACTCACTAAACTCATCTGTGTGATTTTCTCATGGTGTCTTGATGGATTAGAGTTCAAAGCTTCCTTACTATGTACCCATGATCTGAGCCACATTTGATAATTATTGATTTTTTCTTACAAAGAAGGAGAATGTTAATGGTTTAAAAGATAAACTCTGGACCCAACTAGCTGTGCCCTGTTGGGCAAGCTACTAACATCTCACAGCTCAGTTTCCTCGCATGTGCGTGAGCTCTTGTGCACTCATGGCGCAGAGGGGTGGGAAGGCAGAAGTCCGTCAAAATAGATAACGTGCTTAGAACAGTACCCGGACATAGTGCCATGTGTCTGTTAGGATTACCACTCATGTTATTTTACGATAAATAATTTTTTCATTATAAATACAGATGAAAATTATTTACCTAGTTTGAAAGCAAAGTAGTCATTCTTAACAATTTTTGCAGCTTTTTCCCTAGGCACACATTGTGTCTAGTATCTAATATCCGGGTTTGTTCAATTGTACAAGAATTTATTATGACATCATGCAAGAGCTAAGAAAAACAGCAACGTGCAGGCCTGTTAAGAGAAGGGCAAGTGGCACCGGCTGCCTGGGGTGGAGGGCTCACACCAGCAAGCAGTAGGGGATGAAGTTGGCGGGTAGGTTGCACTCAGACTGTACACTGGGCCTTTGATAACAGCTGTGGGTTCCGCAGTTGATTCAAACAGGAGGTCAGGACATATGCCCATCTGCAGTTCAATTCACCGAACACTCCTTCAGTTACCTACTGTGCATCGGCACTACGCTGATGGTATGAGACTGTTTTAAACTGGAGCTCCCTGGGCCCCTAGAGTTTGTGTGTGTGTGTGTGTGTGTGTGTGTGTGGACATATTATCTGCAAAGAAAGTCTGTAACTTTAATGCTCAAGATTCTCAAAAGAATCTTGATGTACAACAAAGGTTTCTTAATGAGGTGTATAAAATAAGAAGAAAAGTAAACCAATAATTCAAATACATGTAGTAGTGGCTATATTAGGGGCATGGGAGATGTATGTTAGCTGCTCTGAGCACTGGGATGAGGGAGCGGCTAACTCTGCCCTCCCCGGGGGCAGGGGTGGGGCTGGCAGCATTTCCCAGCTACAGTGTGCACCGCAGCACAACACCCTTCCTGGCGCAGAAACCCAGCTGGACTTTTACCCATCTCAACTTTTCCTGCAATTAGGCAATAAGATTTTTATATTCATTATGAATAACCTGCACTTGTTTCAGAACTCAGCGATAAGTTATAATTCCATAAGTCATCAATTTTGATAGGGTTTAAATATTTTAGGGGAAAAATTGTCCTCTGAGGCCAAATAAATGAAACAGGAGCAGAGCTAAGAGGCTCACTTCTTACCATCCCACTTTCCCCCCAGGACTGAGACCCCATTGCCCTTCCTCAGGCCTGTTTCATAGTGGGGCATCGGGTGGCGCGGGTGCCAAGACTGACCACGGAGAGCCCTCGGCTAACAGCCAGAGGCAGGAAGGCCTGTATATTCCAAGTGCAAAGGACTTGAGCTAGCCTCCCTTCTGAAGGGTCAAGACCAACATCCAGGCCCCAGCCCTTCTTCTGCGCGGCTGGAGAGGAGATGGGAGAGGAAAGGAATTCACCTTTGTGAGGAAGACCCTCACCATTTTTTTAATGATGTCGCCGAATCTAAAAAATGAAAAGTGACTAATTTAATCACAAATGTGGCTGAGAAAGTATGGAATCCACTGAGACATTATGAAAAGATATTATGCTCTTCCATGGAGAAAGAAGGGTCAACAAAGCAGTTAGCTGTAGCCACTAAGAAAAATGAAACCTTGTGTGTACCTACCCCCATGCACTCAGGCACCAGAGGGAAAGCAGTTACACAGAATCCCACCTCACGCCTTTCCTGGAGCCCAGGAAGCCACAGTTACTGCTGCCTGTTGCATGTTATCTTTGTCTTGCACCTGTACTTTCAGCAGACATGCGCTGAAACTAAAGGCTGATTAGTAAGATCATTGGGAAGAGCCGATCAATTTAGCAAAATGTAATTTACTTTACTCAAGATCCTGAGAAGTATTCCACAGTCTTACATTCCAGATGGGAGAAAAGTGAAATCAGTTCTCCAAGTTTTATTTGCTATTACTTGGGCCAGAGCCCATTTATTTACTAAAGACTCACATGGCACTGCTACCTGCCGCCACTGTTCTACAGGCTTCCAAACTCATTCAGTGAAGTAAACACCGAACTTGTTCCCACTTTACACAGGTGGAAGCTGAGTCACGGAAAGGTTACAAAGTGGTAGACCTCACATTTGAACTCAAGCACCTCACTTTGGAGGTGCTATGCTTAGACTCTGTCTTATTTTAATCCTGACACCAACTTTTTAACATCATGATTTTGAGTGAAATAAGCTCTGTGTGATGGTTAATTATATGCAGCAACTTGACTGGGCCAAGGGGCACCGGGTGGTTGGTTAAACATTATTCCAGGTGTGTCTGTGAGGGCGTTTCTAGACGAGGTGAACATTTGGATCAGTAGGCTGAGTGAAGCTGATAGTTCTCCCCAGTGGGTGGCTCCCATCCAGTCCGCCGACGGCCTGCCTGGAGTGGAGAGGTGGAGCAAGGGAGAGCTGGCTGGCTCTCCTCGCCTGCCTGATTTCCAGCCAGGACCTCAGTCTCCTCCCAACTTTGGACACCAGGCGGGGGTTGTAACGTACACCGTCCACTCTCCTGCTTCTCAGGCCTTCGGAGGGGACTGCAACCACACCATCGGCTCTCCCAAGCCTCCAGCTTGCTGCCTACAGATTTGGGGACGTTTTAGGCTCCTTAACTGCATGAGACAATTACTTACATAATAAAGCCCCACCCCTCTGTGTGTGTGTGTGTGTGTGTGTGTGTGTGTGTGTCTGTCTCCGTGTGTGTCTGTCTCTCTCTCCACTGATTCTCTGCAGAACCCAGACTCACATGCTTAGAAAGGGTAATTAAATGCCCGAGGTCTTGCGATTGGAAGACCAGATCCCAGATTTGACCCAGACCTGATTCCAGGTGAGTTCCCCACCACTCCCCGGTATCTGTGCTCAAGGCGGTACAGTGGCGAGGCCTGGCCTAGCCTCCATAATTCCCCCTGGAGGCACAATCAAACATTTTAACACCTAAAACAAAACGAGGAAATGAAGCCATGGTTATAGCACTTTAAGAAGCCAAACCTCACATCCCTGGCTCCACCCCCTTTTGTACCTCAGTTTCTTCAGGTCTGTAACCCACCGGCGCCCCATCCTTCTCATGTAGTTTATCTCCTCCTCCTCCTCGATGATCTCCCGGATCTTGTGCTTCACGTCCGGGTCCCGCACAACCACAAAGGTCCAGGGCTCTGTGTGGGCCCCGCTTGGGGCCGTTCCTGTCATGCATCAAATTAAAATCAGAAATTAAAACTGCGGGAAAATGTGAAACTGTTCATTCAGAATTGATAGAGTGCCCTGGCTGGTGTGGCTCAGTGGATTGAGCACTGGCCTTTGAACCAGAGGGTTGCTGGTCCGATTCCCAGTCAGGGCACATGCCTGGCTTATGGGCCAGGTGACCAGTGGGAGGCATGCAAGAGGCAACCACACAGTGATGTTTCTATCCTTCTCTTTCTCCCTCCCTTCCCTTCTCTCTAAAAATAAATAAATAACATCTTAAAAAATAATCAATAGAGTAACTCATACTAGCCCCAAATGAAGTTACGTCTTCTAGCAAACACGGTGGACTCTGGGGTGTTGCTGCCCCCCACCCCGTTCATCGGGCATCACTGGGGGAGGCTCCACACCAGCCCACTGAGGCCGCCCGGCAGCTGCAGGGCTGTGGGGAACTATCACTGCCTCTCTAACCACGTGGGAGGGGAGGCCTCTATGTGACGACACCACAACCACCAAGGGCCGTGAAATTCTGACAGCCCAGATTCTCCAAAGTGTCATTTCTTTAATATCCTTGCAAATAGATAAAGTCATGAAGCTTATTGGATATGGCAGAAATGGAAATGGTTGAATTGTTTTTAAAATAATCATCCGATGGAAATGAAACTATAAATTCTTTAGTGCTTTGATCGGAGCTCTGAGTGTGACGCTGTGGGTTTCATGGTTTTGTTGGGGACACGTAAGAACTCCTGGGCCTGGGTGTTAAACACCCACAACATTGTGTCTTCCACCTCTCACGGGCTTTGGAAACACTTGGCCCCCGCCTTCGTCGGCCCCACTGTCCTGGACAAAGCTTCATTGTACATCTCGGTGCCCAAGGAGCGTGGATTCCCCGTAAGGTTCCAGCCATGGCCCAGGCCCAGCTTCTGATCTGGACGTCATCGCCCTGGCCTAGAAATGGCCCACTGTTCCAAGCAGCAGACCACAGTGACTCTCTGATGGGATATTTCAGAAGCAGCCAACCCTTTCTTCCTGGTGAGTAATTTAATAGCAGAAACTCTGCATGAGGGGGCCTCAAGCCTCCAGTCTTGATGATACTCATGTTTACCAACCCCATTCCCCATTGCAGAGGGGTGTGACTGAATTGTGAAATGCTTCAGCAAGTGGAAAGGGAAACATAAAGTTCAATTTCTGAACAGAGTGATTCCAGCTTACTTCGTGCCTGCTATTTGTGCAATAAATACATGTGTCACTAACCTGAGAAATAATTGTTCCCTGATGTTTTCAATTATGCCAACTTTATCTAAGCATATGTACACACACATTTGTAGATACAGATTATATGCAGATGAAATATAGTAATCACTATTAGTTAGATAAAGGACTCCCCAATTTAGTCTATTTGTATTCTTAACTGAAATGAAATGAATAAAACTCCAAGCAGAGGAGGCTCTCAAATAGCCAAGCTTACTTTCATTTCTCCTCCTACTTTTCCATAACTGTTGTTTTTTTCTCTGTAGAGGTATTAATTTACACTGAAAAGGGTTTACTTCACAAGTTCACACAAGTGAACTTGGGAGACAAGTAGAATACTGTATGAGAGCATAAGGGTGTAGAGCATAAGAAACTTGGTTCCAAAAAGAGAAACTTGTCCCTGTAAGTCAGTGAGTGTGTATGTGTGTGTGTTTGGAGGGGATGGGAAAGAAAGCAGATATTTCTTTTTCAATGTATAATAGTGTATTTAGAAATTTTTGTTTTTAATAAAAGTTCATAATGTTGACTAATTTTTAGAAGTTTTGAACTGTGGTCACATTTGTCCCCAAGAAGTTGGTAACAGTCAAAAGTCTGTAGAAAGTGGGAATCATTATGTTTCCGATAGTCAACACCTGGGGCCGAGGCTTTACAGGTGGGCTCAGCACTCTAGGCTTTAATCACTGTGTTCAAACTTCAACAGTGCTCCAATGTTATCATAGCAGTAATGCAGCTGACACCTTCGAGGACCCAATGTGCAATTACAAACCTGCTGTTTTGATGACATTCTCGATGACCTCCACTGGGACTTGTTCATTACTTATGAATCTCACAGAACGCCTCTTACTGAGAAGCTCATAAAATTCCTGGGATCTCTTCACCATTTCCTTCTCAGGATACCGGGTGTGGGAGAATGGAATGTGTTCAATATTTTCCTCTGACTCTTGCCACTCATCAGCATCTGCAAGTAAGAACAAGAAAAGTATCAAATTCAATGATTTGTCTTGGTCATAAGGTGGCCACTGGGGAAAAAGAGATAAAGTGTTCAAAATGTCAGCTATGAGTCGAAACATGAACAAAAAAAATGAGATGGGTAAATCCACAGAGTCCTGACCTCTGATCCTGACAATACTTTAAACTCTATACTGGTTATAAATCAAGAAAAAGAAAAAAATTTCCTACACAAAGACAAAGAATGCAAATTTTTGTGGAGGGTGAACTAGCTTATTTAGAACAATCTCTCATCAACTGAAAACCACTAAGGTCACCAAATAAAATGTTTTTGGCAGGACCCATGGACATGGAGAACAGTGTGGGGAAGGGCTGAGTGAGTGGGAGGGTCTGGGTGGAGGGGACAAAGGGGAAAAAAATTGGGATAACTTTTCAGAGCATAAACAATAAAATTATGTGAAATAATTTAAATCAAAAAGTAAATTTAAAATCTGGCAGAAAATATTTTTAAAGTTCTTTTCAAGTTGTATTATTGACAACATAGTAAGAAATTCTCAGGCCAAAACTGAAGAGAAAATGTGAACCTGCAGAGAGAAGTAAACACAGAAGCTACACCGAGCAATCCCTACACATTTGAATTTTCATTTATGTTTCCAGGAATCAAGAGGGATAGAAATCAAAGCCCAAAGGCAGGTTGACAAGTGGGAAATCAAAGACCTTTGGAAGGAGGAAGGGCTGCTGCCCTGAACACTAATACGCTGCATGAGTGGCTGGAAGGTGGAGAAATCACTGAAAGAAAACAAAAAGCAGGGTGATTTCCCCAGGCAGGCAGGTGCAAGGGGGAAGAAAAACACCAATAAAATGTCAGGAAGCCGTGGGCCTGAAGCTCAGAGCCAGACCGGCCCCACGAGCATCAGCTCCTGGAAGCTCTCGAAAATCCTGACGGGGCATTGACCTTCTGAACCTGTGGATGGAGGACCTGATGATGCAGACTTTCCCCCCTTTTCATTTCTGCTCAGTACGGTGAACTCGGCTGACATCTGGATTATATAAGCATTAAAACATTAAATAAACGAAACAGCATGAGAAAGTGAGGCAGTCCTAAACTCTACCTCTTTCTACTGTCAATGGGACTGAACAACTTTCTCCTCGTAGACTTCTGTTCAGGAGACGCCTGTAGCAATGACTTTGCAAATTTTTTTTGGCGGGGATGGTATTTGAGGGGAAAAGGGTAAGCCAGTGGAATAAAAATCTGTAAGTATGACTAGTTTGGTGGAAAAAAAGTTTCAATGTTATAGATTATATATTTGTAAAATGCAACATACTACTATACATTTAGTAAAATGTTATGACATTGTTATGTACATATTACATTTAGTAAAATGTTATACACAAATGTTTACTACACAAATGTAGTAAAACTTCCCAAATCTTCCTAGAAAGTAGAAACATACAGTTTACTCAACCAGGTTTTTATTTAGCATTTACTGACTATATATTAGTGAACAAAATAGATACGGTTTTTATACGCAGAACCTAAACATTTAAACTAATCGGAGAATGTATACTGTATGGCAACATCAACTATGAAGACAATTCATTCTCTAGAAAGAAGCAGAGAAAAAGGAAGGGTGGTCCAGGCAGGATCACCTAAAAGGGACTCTCTGAATAGGTGTCACAGCAGGCGAGACCTGCAGAATGAGCGACTCAGCGTTTGAGGGCCGAGGGTGGGGAAAGGTCAGATTCAACCATATCTGAGCAGCTGAAGGGACCTGAATATGGCTGGGTCTGACTGAACAAAGGAGAGAGTGAGGGCTGGGAAGTAGGCAAGAGCCTACTTCTGTGGGCCCAGAGAATGTACTCCTAATAAGACTGTAGAGAAGCCAAAGTATCGCAGGAAAGAATGCAAAGATAAGCGGAAGTGTAATATAATGCTCTTAAGGGTATGCATTGGAGGGAGTCCAAGTAGAAAAAGAGAAACCATAAAGAGACTATTGCTGTAGCGTAGATGAGGGATGATGCGGTCTTGGACCAGCTGGCAGCAGAAAGAACAATGAGAGCGCACAGATTCCTGAAGCGTCTTGGAGATTAAGGTGATAAGACTCGCTGAGGGGTGTGGTTGGGAGGGGTAGGGAAGGAGGAACTGAAGCTGACTCACAGGTTGCTGGCTTCAGTGCCTGGGTAGACAATGGAACCCTCCACTGAGGTAAGATGATAAGGGATGAACCCAGGCGGGCAGGGGCGGGGGTGGGGCAGAAGTAGGAATAGGAAGCCACAGCCTGTCGCATTCAAGATGCCTTCAAGTAAAGATGTCAGGTATGAAAGTGAATGTCCGAGAGGTGAGATGTCACCTGGGGGGCCCTCACGTAAAGACGAGAATGGCACATAGGAACAGAGAGAGGAGAGTGAGAAGATCCGGGCCCTGGCCCTGAAGGGCTGGGACATTCCAGGTGGAATTCAGGTAGAGGGTGAACCTTCCCCCACCCTGCCTCCCACACACCTCACTCCTAGGTACCTGAGGATGGGGAGGAGGAAGGCAGAAGGGCACTGGCAAGAAAGGGGGACTAACTTCAAAGGCACTGAGAACACAACGATACTAGCCGCGGGTACCACAGTTTGCTCATAGCTCTTGGTGAGAACTACTTTTGACATTTTACTAGCACAGCGCAGACTGCATGCACTTAGTGAGAAGGCTGGGTTACTAAGTTAAAAGGAAGCAAGTGTGATGGGGGAGTGGTCAACACCTCTCAGCTTTCTAGTAATCCATTCTGAATCAAACCCACATGTCATTATCACCAAGCCTGAACTTCCTCAAATGTGTTGATAAAGACTTTTCATACCATTGAGACTTTCTAAGCCATTTGTTTTGAAGTCTGACAACCTCTGCAGTCAGGAAGTGGTCAATGAGCCAATCTGTGTTTTCTTAACTGACACGGAGGTTGCTACCTCTCAAGATCCATTCAGCTAGAATAGTAGAAACCAAAGGCGGCCTAAGTGCATGACCTGGCAATTTCTGCAGCTTCTAAAGTCCAGGGTAGACGCTCCCACTGTAGCAGAGGGAAGAAATGGCACAACCACTGTTGGGTTGGGTTGCCCTGCAGGGCAGCCGGGGTCGAGGTAGGGGTGGTGGTGAAGGGAAGCTGCTGTTTCTGGAGCCTCCCCCAGGGCCGGAGTTCTGCGTCCCGCCGAGGGAAAGAGCCAAGCTCTGGGAGGGCCCAGCAGAGCAGTGAAGAAACACAAATGCACAAGTCACCACCTCCCTCCTTCCCCAACCTCCTCACTGCCCCCAGGAATGTGGCCCTCACCAAGAGGAAAGAGCCACGTCTGCCAACGGCCCAGCTCTCCTGCCTCCGTGATAGACCAGCCGAGTTGCTCTAGGGATTCGTCCAAGCTGTAAAACCCACATGTGTCCAACACAAATCTGTGCTGTTGCGGTCTGCTTTTTAATATCTGTCCTGTGCTCCCATACTCAGGGTTGGCTATTGACACCAAAGGAATTCACCTTCTGTCATTTAATGCCATTTAATGCCAAGGAAGAGTAAATGGCTCCATAATTAGGTGTAATGGCCAAGTAATTCTAGGTCATGTCTCTCCTTTCATGTTTAAGGTGAAGATATTTTCGCTCAGCTTTGTCATGGGTGTCCCTCTGTTCAAGAAATGCTTCTCAGTTGAGCATAACTGGCAGTCCAGTGTGGAGGGACATCCTTCCACATAGGAGAGAAGGAGGAAGCCCTTCTAAGAGGCTATGGGCTTGAATCCTGTGCAGTCAGCATCTCTAATTCCCAGCACTAACTGCCAGCCGGATTCCTCACCCCTGATCCTGAGATTAGGCCGACTCACAGCACGTGCATGGGTGCGCACATACACAAATGAACACACATATGTACAAATGTCACACTTCCAGGTGGCCTCTGTTGGAGGGTGGGAGCACCACCGGCCCAGCTGGGAACCACTGAGCCTTTTCCAAATCAAATCCATCCCACAGACAGACCTCAGACAAAACGTCCAACACAATTACGCGGGGTCCCTCAAGAACCTCTCCCTTCCTGCCTGCCTCATTCATCGCCTCTTCTCACATCAGCCATGACCTGGCCCCGCCTCGCTACCCCGCTTCATTTTACCCCTTCCCCTGGTCAGAACAGTCCTCCCGTCTTCTTGTCATCCTCCCCGGGGGTTTGGTCCCTGTACTTTTGCTCTTTCTGCTCTTCTTGCCTGAGACACCTCCCGAACTACTGTCTGTCTGAACGCCAGCACCAGAAGTGACTAGAAGGACTCTCCAAGTCCTACTAGTTCACCAGGCCTGGTTGGTCTTTTTGCTGAGTGCTCCACCATGTCCCCAAGCCTTCTCCAAACGTATTATGATCAATTCTACCTGGTTCACAGCTTTTTGTTACTCTCTAACTGTTGCCTATTTATTGCCGTGTCTACTGAACTGGACACTCAGCTTATAGGACCATGGCCATTCTTGCCTCTAACCCACAGGGCCTGGCACAAAGGTCACACTCCATAGATGCCACTTCTTAAACTTCAAAGTTCTTAATCAGCACCTGACCATATGCCCCACAGCCACCCCAGCCTGAGATGTGCCCTTTCAGAAGGGTTGTAACAGCCAGAACAGAATGGAGCCGGGGGGAATATCAGCCCTCCACAGCCTCCTACTAATTACCCAGGAATAAGGAGGGGTTGGTGCCAGCGGGCGACAAGCTGCCCACCCAGGAGACATGACTCGCCCTCATCACTCATGAATTGTTTGTGCAGCAGAGGCTGATGAGAAAACCAACCTGCAGCATTTCCTGCCCCCCCACAGGCCCCGCCGTCCACACACACATCACAGAAACGCCAAAAGTGCCTGTGTCTTTACCTTCTTCCACCTGGTGGAGGTCAGTGCTGCCCCTCAAGTCTTCATCCACCCAGGGATGAGACTCGGTCCTGGCTTTCAGCTCCCCCTTCCTTCTCTTGATGCCTCTCTCAGCATTTTTATAGAGCCACACAATCAAAGTGCAGACAATGGCCACCAAGACTGGAGTCAGGGCAAACATGCTCATAAGACAGAGCGGAGCAGCGTGCTCACTTCTCACTGGCGTTCAGGTCACTTCTGGTGCCGGCGTTCAGACAGACAGTGAGGGCACAGCACATGCCAGCTGGTGGAACGGAGGCGGAGAGAGGTGTGCTGGGGAAGGAGCCAACTGAACTCTCTACCTCTGTGAGGACCGTGCCAAGGAGCAAAGATCACAGCTCTGTGAGTGTGTTTGTGCTCTGGGTTTGGCAACGCACCAGTGCATTCACTCGCTAATGTGGGTGTGTTTGTGCTCTGGGTTTGGCAACACACCAGTGCATTCACTCGGTAATGTGTACCCTAGCAGTATGTTTTTACACAGTAATTGTCATGATCTCACTAAATACTGCAGTGCACTAGAGCTTGCCAGCAGTGGGAGAAAGCATTTAATCTTCCTCTCAGATTTTCTCTGAGGGCAGCAATGTGTCCTCAGCCTGCCTGCAGCTAGGAATCACCTGGGAAACTTGTTTTTGAAAGAACAGGTTTCCAGACACCAATTCAGATCTGATGATAATTGGTGTTTTAAAACAGACTGTGAAACTGCCCTGCAGTCACAGTATTTGGCAACTTGCAATGGGAGAAGAGACTCATCCTGTATTGCTTGGCCCAAGGCAGAGAACGAAAATTAGGTGGCATTTGTTTCCTCATTCACCCTCCATCTACACATTCATGCAACGTACATCCCTTAGGACCAGTGGGAAAGGCATGGCATTAGGTGCTGGAAACAAAACGGTGGCAGAACAGATGGCACGTGACCTCGTGGTCTCACAAATTCATGTCACAGTTCAACTTCCCTAAGAGCTGTTGGGGAGCAGAACAGAGTGTGGTTTGACCTTATTGGAGAGACTGGAGGTCCACCAGAGGAAGGAACGGTTGAGCTGAGGTTAGAACTATGAGTAGGAGTCAACAAAGTAGGGAGGGGGGAAAGAACCTTCCAGGCAGAAGAGAAAGTGGGTATGAGGTCTGCGCTTTGGATGGAGCTGGCACCTGGGGGAGTGCAGGGAGCCATCTAATGTCAAGAGATAAGTGCTAGATGAAGCGGGTCTTTGGACGACATGTAAATAAATAGTGGTTTTTTTTTTTTACCCACAATGCAATGTGGAGAGAGGGTGACAGGTCAGTAATAGCAGACACTTCCTGAGTTCTTACCATGTGGGGCCAGGTTTCTCCCTATCTCCTTATGCATTTGACTCATATATATGCCTCAGAACAAGCCATTTTCTTCCCCACTTTACAAATGAAGAAAATGAAGCACATGGAGATTGAGTAATATGTTGGATCAGTATTGTATAAATGGCCCATTTATAACTCCTGTGTGTTAGCCTAAAAAGGTCCATATCATTTACTTCTTCATAGCATGCTGGGACCCTTAGCCTAAAGTCCACTGGAGCCAAACTGGCTTCACTGAGGAATGGAAGGTGGAATGTTACGGACTGAATGTTTGTGCCCACCCCCCAGGGAAATTCATATGTTGAAGCCCTGATTCTAATGTGATGGTACGTGGCGGTGTGGCCTTTGGGTGGTGACTAGGACATGACAGTAGAGCCCTCATGAAAGGAATTAGTGCCCTTGTAAGAAAGACTTGAGAACTGGCTAGTCCTTTCTCCACCCTGTAAGGACACAGCATGAAAGCAGCCGCCTGTGAACCAGGAATCAGGGTCTCTCCAGACACCGAGTTTCCTAGCACCTTGATGTTGGACCTTCCAGTGTCCGGAACTGTCAGAAGTAAATGTTGGGGTTTTTTTTTAAGTCACCCAGTTGGCAGTATTTTGGTTACAGTAGCCTGAGCTGACTAAGACGAATTCCCATGGCTCATGCTTAGCTTCAGAGGAATACAGAAAAGTGGTTGAGAAATAGGTACAGCACAGACTGAAAGAACTCAGCCGCAGTGGTCAGGTAAAGGGTGAGAGGAGAAGACAGCCGCAAGGAGCCCAGGCAGTGGGTGGGGACGCACGGAGGGGACATGCGTAGCTCCAGGGCATCGGCGCCCAAACTGTTCCCTATTCCAAAGCTCTGGGCAGTGCGGGTCTCAGCGAAGCATAGCCTTCCCAGGGTGCTGACTCTCAGAGTTCCACGAGACCGTGCCCTTTCACTCCACCTGAATTGCTGCAGTACTCGCCCAAGCTCAGCTGAGTGGGTCTTCACATTTCTTCACAGCCAACAATCTCCGTGGCCAGGCCTCCCACTCATAAAAAAGTCAGGAGAGTAAAATTCTACATAGTCGCCACTACGCGGTATAGGGAAGCCTTCTGGTAATGTCATGGTTTCTCTATCAGTTTTATCTGAGAAACAGTTTGTGGTGTGGGGCCAGAGAGGTGCCATGCTGCTGACGGTTGGGAGGCCCAAATGCCTGCTCTACTCCGAGCTGTTCTGGAGCATCCTGGGGTGGTTGTTACCACAACACCTTTTCCTCGTCAAGGTAGGAATGCTGAGGGTAGACACCATGGAGGACGGCATGGCTACTTTCATGGCATTTATTATGATGGTTTTGTTACTCCAGATTCCTTGGCCATTTTAATCATTGCATTTCCACGGATGGCGAAAAAATTCATGTTGCTGTCAAGACAGTTCCACACCTTCCATTTCACAATGGAGACAGTTAGGTTTCTCTCTCTTGCCCTTCCTTTCTCTGGGTACCCTCGGCACATCCTTGTATCAGAGAGGCGTCCGGGGCTTGGTGTGGGTTCCGGCGAAGGGAACACGAAACATCCTCAACTCCCCACTTCCTCTGCATCCTTCAAGCCCAGATCACAGGGCCCTTTGATTGCCTGTCCTCAACCCATCACAGTGCCCCTTTTGAGTGTTTATCAAGTTTCTTGGGTGATTCTCGGGCTTCATATTTATTTTTTGCCTTATGCATATCTATGTTATTTGAATTTCTTTCTACCATCCTGTACTATTTCTGTGTGGTTTTTTTTGTTACGATAAAATATCAAATTTACCATTTTAGCCCTTTTTAAGTGTATAGTGGCATCAAATATATTCATAATGTTTTCCCCTCCCAAACAGAAGCTGCTCACCTTCCTTTCCCCAGCCCTGATAACCTCCAGTGTACTTCCTGTCCCAACCACTCAGCCTACTCCAGATACTGTACATATAAGTGGAGTCATATAACATTTGTCCTGTTGTGACTGGTTTATTTCAGTTAGCTTAGTATCTTGAAGGCTCATTCACGTTTTAACTTATATCACAATGCCATTCCTTTTTATGGCTTAGCACATACTGTTTTTATAACTGAAAAATAGACACTAAGTAAATACTTTGTGGTGTTTTATGAAGACCATTGCAATACAGTGTGGTGAGTGCTGTGCACACAGGGTCCCTCATTCAGTCTGAGACCGCACAAAGCCCCACAGAGGACGTACAGCCTCTACTGAATCACAACAAACTCTGTGTCTCCTGGGAACAGTCAGCGCTACGCAAGGAACTGCACCAGAATGTAACCAGCACACTGGTCCCTTCCTCGAGAAATGCCTGTAACAACAACAATAAGTCAGCTGACCTAGACGAGGTGTGCAGGGCTGTGGCTGACTCACGGAATTGGCATCCTAGTTCACACATTCACTTTTGTGGCTGGTAACCAAGGGTGGATGGACAGGCCAGGCTGCAGATCTCACGGCAGAAGCATGATTCCAGAAATCACATTTTCCCAAGACACACATGTGACTTGTGACTTTCCCTGCTGGTGTTATATCTGATTATCCCCATCTCATGTCCTTCCTGCTTTCCTGTCACCCTGCGGTATGTCTGCAGGGCAAGAAGTCAAAGGAGGTGGAGAACATTCCAGAAAGAGACATCTTGGGCCCTGAGTGAGGTGGCCCAGTTCTAATGATCCACATGGCCAACTGCCCTCAAACGCTTCTATCAAGTGCTCAAGTGCAAGTGCTATATCAAGAGCCTTCAAGCTAATGGCTTGAAAGAGGATGTGCCAGTGTCTGCACCTCGATCTTATCTCAGTTTAAGTGTGAAATTGGGGGGGGGGGGTGTGAGGTGTTCAAAAGTGTTTTCAAACCTATTTGGCACCTGTGTGCAATCCACACTCACTAATAACATCAACACCTTCAAAGTTTAGCCTCAGTTGATAGGTTTAAGTGGTTAAAGCTGTGACTTGATAGGCTTAAATGACTGCTTTTGCATAAAGACTCTTTTTCTTTATCATCAAACCTTTGCCTCTGGAATTTTGCCTGGAGGGTGATGGTGGGCAGCAGGACCCCCAACTGCTGTTGGGTGACAGAGTGAAGTAGCCTAGGCTAGACTTGAAAAGAATAAGATAGAATACAAAAGAAAGTATAAGAGTAAATATTGTTTCATGATCCTTAATGGAGTAAAAAATACTTTGACATGGGTGTATTGGTTCAAGATTAAAAACAAACGTCCTGTAGATCTTGCACAAAGAAGTTTGAAAGCCACTGATCTCACTGGTCAATATTTAAAGATTGAGGTCACCAACCAACCCTAGAAAGATGACGTAAAAAGGAACCAAGTGCAGGCCAAAGGACCCAAGGACTGTGATATCCTAGAGTCATCACTGGGGTCAGAATCAGAACATGCCCAACAGCCCATGGTCCGGCTAGCATTACACAGCCAGTGTGAGGACCAGAGCATGGATGCATTGGCCCAGGAGGGTGAAGAACAGCTAGATGGGCTGACTCAGATGGTTTGGGCCTTGAAAAAAAAAAATCATTCTCCTCAGAAGCCAAAGGTTCCTGTTTCGCTTAAAAAAAAAAAAAAAAGTCTGCCGGGGAGTCAGACGCAGCCACAAGATGGCAGGCGAGGACTAGTTTCCGTTTGAGAGCGAACACTCCAAAGCTTGGCAGGTCCAGACTCAGCCCGCAGGCTCCTGCAGATTGCAGAAGTTCCTCTCATGAAGGCATTTTCCATTGTTTTCAGGAAACTGAAATGGAAGAAGACCAGTGTCACGGCCGGAAAGACCTGAAGACGACCATGATGGCTGTGTGCCAGGTGAACTGTAGAGCTCCACTATGACCATTCCAGAAGGCCAAGGACACCATTTTACAGATGCATCCCACAGGTCATCAGTTCCCCTACAGTCTCTTCCGTCCAAAAGCTCTCTGGACACATGCATCGAAGAAACCTTGGA